CCCCAAAACCCCAAAACCCCAAAACCCCTTTTTAGGGTTATTAATTTAATAGGTTTTAATGGATTTAGAACAAAGGGAGCTCGTGAGAGTGGAATGTGGTTCTTCACAGCAGTTAAATTGTTCTAGTTTTGATTTTTCTGGAGGTTTTGAAGAGGAAACTAAGTGGATTGATTGTGATCTTGAAAAGGATGATCTTTCTGATCAAAAATGTGAAGAGATTGGAGTAAATAAGACAATCTGTCAAGTACTTAGCCAAGAAGAAAGAAATCATAATCTAGAAGAGTGTAAAGAAATACAGAAGAATCTAGAGAAAATTAGTTTTGATAATCTGCCAGAAAACTTAGATCAGAGAAGAGAAGCACTAGAGAAAATCAAGGAGAAGATGGACAAGAATGCACAAATTATTTTGAAAAAGATGAAAGAGACCGAGAGAGATGGTGAAGAGGAAGAACTAATCGGCCAAAATCTGAAGAGAAGCATTTATAGTAAAGAAGAAAAAGAGATCGCCAAAAAGTTGAAAACTGGAGGAGGTATTTGTTGGCTTTAATATTGAGTAGGACAGTTGGGCAAAGATATACAGTCTACTTGGAATCTAAAACAATTGGATCTTCTCATAAATGAAATGAAAGGTAATCGTATCTTAATGCTATTTTCATCAAAATTTAGCTTTGAGATCTTTTATAATTTTGTATCTTATACCCAATCTTTTTTATAGCATTTTATGAAAAGACTAGTGAACTATATCAAAAGATTACATCTACCGCCAAAGAAGATTCAGACTCTGTGCAATGCTCAATGGAAAGCTTAAAGGATAAACTTAGTAAGTTAATTTCTTTTCTAAATTCACTCTTTAGGTGAATTTTTTTGTAAAAAAGATCCTCAGAACAAAAAATTCTCTGAGTTTGAAGAAAACAAAGGAGTAGATGAACAAGATTTTTCAGATAGTTGATATTCCTCAGATCTTCAAATATCAGATTTTAAAGATTCAGGCAAGCTGCAGCATTGAACAGAAAGATTAATAGCACTAAAAGAGAGTACTTTAGATAAGAAATCTGAGATAGACAAAGTTGAGATTTGCCAATCTATGATAGACTTTATTGATGAAAAATATTTACCAGAAGAAGAATCTAAGGAAGACTATGAAGCTTTTACCAAGACTCTAGGACGAGAGGCATTATCAAGTTTTGAAGAGAGTAAAGTTCCGAATCGTCCAAAACCTAAAGCAAGTGTATCCAAGAAGTATGCTTTTGCAAGTAAGATCTTTAGCCTGAGACCAAAAACTTGTTGAATAATAAAACCCTGATATAGGAGATGAAGAAGAAAAGGAATCTGATAATTTAAGTTTCTGAGAAAATCCTGACCAACAGCAAATACAACTTTTAGAAAGAGGCTTGAGAAAATTTGAAAGTATGGAGATCTTTAAGCTGAAAATCTTTGTTAGTTCTGCTTTTAGTTAAAAGTTTTCCCAAAGCGTTTTGGTTGCTATTCAAAGCTTATAGACCTCAGAAACCAGATGAGAGAGGAATTGAATATTGATGGCCCAGAAAACTGAAACCAAGGAGCAAGAGAGGAATCAAAACAGCAGAGCAAAAAGAATGCTTTAAAAGGAGAGAAAAATTTATGAGAAAATTCAGATTCTGATAAAATGGAGCATATTATTGGTATGAAGCTTATATGCTCTTTGCAAACTCTGATATAGTTTTATTCTCTTGATTAAAATTTATGACTCTTTCATCAATAAATAATATATGATCTTAAAGCTACCTTAACTTGTCAGTATAACACTTAATAAAACATCAGGTTTCTTCTGTTTCTATTCACTAATTGAAATCCCCTAGAATATTTCGCTCATGAGAGTACATTTCTCAAGGTTTCTTATCAAATTCTAAAAACTTATGAATGAACTAATACTTGATATCATAGCTAATATTGAAGCATTATTGGAAGAAGAGATTAAAAGTAGCGTTATCTTAGATCAAAAGGAGCAAGCAAAAGTAAGCATCATTCTTAAAATGTATTATTGGAAATCTATTCACTAGTCTGGCTAAGATTCAATTGAAATTCATCTTATACCATTGATATCTCTACTTTTAAATACATCATTTGCTCACATTTTGATGAATAAATTTTTTATAAATATTTATTTTATATAGGAAAAATTAAAGATCGGAAGTGGAATGTAAGTTTTTAATTCTAATTGGACAAGATCCATAAAAGAAACAGTGATAGATCAAGTTTTGTTACATTTAGTATATTATGCATTGAATATTTCTTTGAAGTTGCATTTATCTCATGTTTTTATAGCCTCCCTTTTGTGGGAATGTACAGAGAGCCACAAATTGATAAAATCAATCTAGGTATTTCATTTCTACAAATCAAATTATAATTTATTCTACTGAATTACTCATCATCAGTGATTGTACCGTATTTACCTAATGTACAAAACTTGAAAACCAGACTTATTCCCTAAGTTTTTGCCAAAATTTCCAATAAGACTATTAATCCAACATACACTGAAACCTTATCTCCCTCACTACAACCCTATAGAAATCCAATCTGTTAACTGCCAAATTATCCAAACAACTTCTGAAATCCTCCTTCATCTCCAATGCCTCATACCTCTCTTGACCCCCTCCGAACTCGAAAGCACCAAAATCCCTTACTTAATCTTCTCTTTCTCAGAACACTTTCTTCCTGACAAAAAAGTTGACCTGCACCCTACACTTAATCAACTGAAAGAAATCGTTCTGTCAAGGAAACTCAGTGAAATTCAATGCGACTTGTTAAGCGTTATGGTTGAGTTCGAGCAGACGCTCAAGAGAGGAGTGGATGGTAAGCTTTGAGCATTTATAGAGTTGCCTGGATATATTTATAACTTAAGTGCAATAGCATAGAGCTAGAGTAGGAGAAGAGACAGATAGATGTTGTATGAAGCATTGTTTTTATTGAGAGAGGAGATGGAGTATACCTAACTTAATAGATAACTATGCAACTAGTACACTCTTATCAATAAATCGGAATGTTCTGTTGTTATTCTCTTGTATTAAGAAGTGAGGCTATTTTTCATGAGTAAAAACACCCCTAGCCACCTTGCCGAAGATAAACTGGGATTTATCCCTAATAATCTCTTCGGATCCTCTATTTTAATAGCTTCTAGGCAGTTCTATAACTCTGCTGTCTTAAATATCTAAAGAATTCTCAAAATAATTTTGAAACAATTGTATTATAAATTAGGTAAAGAAGATAAGGATTACTTTGAGAGAGCCCTAAGTGATGTTCAGAGACAGGTTAAAGATATTGGAGAGAAGGAATGGCAAGTAATGTTTCTGCTTCAAGAGGACAAAGGTAGGGTGTTTATGAAGATGAGGGGTTGAATTAGGGTTGGGGATGAGAGAGTTTATAGGATTTTTCTATGTTTTGACTGATATGGAAGGTTTTTGAATGAGTTGATTATAGGTGTTTTTGTTTGGGCTATTTCGTCATTCTTTGAGAGAAATAGTTAGTATTGTTGTTTGATAAATAAAAGAGTGTTGTATTTATTCCTTTTAATCTCTCAAGGTTTCCAATTTCTGTCTTGAGAAATAAAAATTATTTCCTCGCATAAGTAAAAAAAGCATATCAACTACACTAATTACAGTTTATATCTACTCATTTATCTTAGTAAAACACTTTCTTTCAAGAAGGATTTGAATCATAACATTATATAATTATAGATGAGAATGATGATAAATATTGTTTAGCAAAACAATTTTTGAATTTAGTCTGAAATGTAAGCACAAGAGGAGAAAATCAGTTGGATCACTTAAAGCAACCTGCTTTACAAGTTGAAGGAGTATTTAAAATAAATAAAGCATAGAACAAAGAAGGTTCAAAGTTTGTTAAGAAAGTCGAGAATAAGGACAAACCCGATGCAAGCAAAATAAATTTTATAACATTTTAGCTAATTAAGGATGATAATAACATTTTAATGCTCAAGTATATTCAAGAATTAAGTATTTTTGTATTATCATAATAGACCAACAAATACAAGACTATATTTGTGATTTTAGAAGTTTTGGCAAAATGGATAGTAAACAAGATTCTCAAAAGAGTTTTGCGACTAAATCTCTCAACTATCTCAATAATCTACAAGTTCAATCTAAAAATAGTAGTTTTTGCTCACTCAACTTACAGAAATCATCAAACAAAGCATGACATTTCTATCCAAAACTCGCTCAGACCTAAATTCCAAATCCCAACGCTTCATTACAGAACTAGCCAACATATCTTCCGAATTCACCAAAATCAACCAAGAAAAATTCGACCAAATCAAATCCTTCCTCCAAACCCACGAAACCCTCACTCAAGAACGTTGCTCCCTCACCTCAGAAATCACCCAATTCACCCACAAAATGACCTCCAAGTACACTTCGGCACTATCCCACCACTCAAAAACCCTCTCCAAAATCACCTCCAAACTCTCAATCCTCCACTACATCCACCACTCTCATCTCCAAGGTAACCTCCTTCTCCCTAATTCCCTAAATTTCACTCATCAGCTACCCTATTCACCCAATTTTTCTTCCTATAATTCCTAATTTCTCTACTATGGGGTTAATTTTGGTCTAATTTTTGATATAGATGAAGAGATGTGGGAAGGATTTTGGGAAGATTGTGAATTGAGGAGGAGGAAGGAAGAAGAGGGTGAAGGGGTTGACTGGGAAGGATGTAGGGTTGTGGTGAAGAAGGTGACGGATGTTAGTGAGGAGAGTGGGAGTGGGCTTGTAGTTCCGATGTGTAAAAGAGCTAATTTGGGGTATCTGGCGAATGAGTTTGGGAATGTCAAGGTGAAAGCGGGAGAGGAGTTTGATAAGGCGTGTGAGATTTATGTGAAGGAGCATGAAAGTTTGGCAAAGGGAGATGCGGTGGTGCTTCCTTCTGGAGGATTGAGGTTTGATAAGATTATAGCTGCTCATTGTCCTGAATATGTGAGAGATCAAAACAAGGGCAATATTGTTTATTTCTTAAAGAGAACAATCGAGAGAGTATTATGTCTGTCGACTATATACCAGCTTAGTAAGTCAGCCCATTCTAAACATTTTATTTGATGAATAAAATTAATATTTTTTGAAGTCAATAAAAATACAACTTTAAAGATCAAAACTAAAATTACTAAATATAGAATCAATAGTAATTCCTTCTTTCTGCTCTGAGGTCTCAAAAATCCCAATTGAATTATACTCATGTATCGTGATCAAGGTATGATTAAATAATAATGATAGACCGTTAAGGATTACATCAACGCTTACAGTAATATTATGGAAGGCAAAACTGTTACAATTTGTAAAAACTCTTTTAAAATGTAGGCTATTCTAAACTAAGTGATCAAGAATATTTCACAGATGCAATCGTAAGTTATGCCCCTTTAACTCTAGAATAATGAAGATCTTCAGTAAGATAGACACTGATTTCTCCAGGTTCCCAGAGATAGACTTTGATCAACAATATTATGAAAGCGAGAAAGAAGAAAGACTGACTTCCGAGTTAGAATCTCAACAAAAAATAATCGCTAAAATGCAAAGAGAAAATAGTAAGGTAGAATTATTAACAAAATAGATGAACTTAAGGAAGAAAATAGCATGAATAATTATATAATATTCTAGAAAACCTGACTCTTGACAATACAGAACTTCAGATGAAATTGAGAGAGGCCCTAATTCAGAAGAAACAAGATGAGGAATCAAAGAATGATCTTATTGATCATAAAGATGATTTAGAAAATAGACTAGCAAAGAGCTATAACAAGATAGAATCACTTAAATCAGAAAACATTGAACTTAAATCAGAAAACATTGAGCTTAAATCTGAAAACATTGAGTTAAAATCTGAAAGAGATTCTTATAAAAGTACTTACCTTCTAATTCTTCAGAGAAATGCAAGAAGCCTAAGTCACCACGAAAGGAGACTCCTCGTAAGCCTAGAATCCCAAGGGCTCCCAAGAAGTATCCTATCGAAGAGAACAAGGAAGATCAACCTGTAGAGTTTCAGAAGAAGATTGTAAATTTTGTTCTTGAGTTGGCTTCTTTTCTACAGTAGCTTGGGAAGTTGAATTTTTGTGAACGATTTTATGGATTTAGTGTTTGTAATAGCTTAGATTTGGAGATTTTTGTAGATTTAGATTTATTTTACTGGAATTGAGAAGGAAGGATGGTTATAAAATTTAGGAACTTGAATCTTATACAACAGAGAGTGAGATTGTTATTTCTGGAATGATTCAAAATTCTGAGGAAGCTGCTATAGAAGAGGTATTCCACAAAAATAATGATTTAGGATGGCTCGAATGAGTCAGAAGAGGAAGATGGGCAAAGAGAACTACATCCTCAGTAATCTCTGCCCAAGCTTATCTCCAGACCATGGCTTAGGGCCATTCATCCCATAATTCTTACTTTTCTCAAGCCAGTTATTCTCAAAATTTATCCCTTCTTTTTGATGTTTGTTTTAGCTTTAGTTAAAACTTAATATTTAAATTTGGGAAGTTATCAGAATTTGTTCAAGAGAAGAATTTAGGCTTGGGGTTTTGGGGTTTTGGGGTTTTGGGGTTTTGGGG